TGGAGCTGTAAGTGCTATGAGTGCTGCTAATCTGTCTGTTTCCCATGAGTGGTGGTAGGGATAGAAAGGAACAAGAAAAAAATAGAGGAAGAAAATGTATTGGAAATAGAAACAAGGAAAAAGGAAAATCAGGTAGAATATGCAAGTAATGAAAAAACCACAGTGACCAAGACTGGGCTGCGGGGAAGACAAAGAGATAAAAGAATAGTAGTAAACAAAAATCAAGTTAAAAAATGAGAGGAGGAGAAAAAGTAAAAAAGAAACTGAAGAAAAGAAAAAAACAGAAACAAATGACAAATGGATGAAAACAAGGGAGGGATGATAAAGAAAAAAAAAAAAAAAAGACAAATAATGGCATAAGGACAGATCCATAGAAGAGAAGAGTGTGGGATTCAGGACATTCATTTTAAGCTGACTCCCTTTGCCAGCTAAAGAGCTCATATGGTTGTGGGAAGAGGTGAGAGCATGGATCCCTAGATGCAGTTCATGTCAGGCTAGGTACTGTGGGTGTTCAGGGTGCCTTATCCAGAAGTAGTTCATGCTGGCTCAGGTGGGGGGCTGAAGTCTGGTAAGTTGTTCCCAGAAAAAAAACTCTTTTGGGATTAGAGGGCAAGTGAGGCAGGGAGACTGGTTATGGATGGAGTTCCTTCTAGTACATAGGTGTTCAGGAACTCAACAGTAAGGATTCTGATCGTCTGATGAAGCAGAGTTCACAAATCCCGAGACGTACTTCGTACCGGATTCACAATGACATGGCTTCAACCACTGGGAGACCAGGAGCTGTGCAGGGGTGGATGGGTGTGGGGGTGGCCGTGCTATGACCTCCAGGAGGGCGTGGGAAACAAGGCAGAATTGCACCATTCTTTTTGTCAGGCACCAGTGTATCATTGTGTTGTCAGGCCACTGTCTTCATAGAATGCTGTTTTCAAAAGTTCCAGATGGATGTGCAGACACATCTGTCTTCTCTCTCTCTAATTTTCATCACCTTCTTCTCCTAGTCAGCATTCAATTTACTTCTCTATCTTTTCCTTGAAACAAAGGATTCCAGCATTAACATCTGAAGTCCTGGTGTGAGTCTGTAGGATAATCTCTGCATTGCTAACTAAAAGTCGGCATTTCAAACCCAC